CTTCTCCAACATTCCTTATCACAATGTCCCATCACCAGTGTATAGATAGATAAATAGGCTATACACACAATGTGTTGATCATATTCCAAAAAAGTCTTTTTGTGTAAAATGAGAAAATTGCTCATATTTTCACCCTTCAAACAGTCATCAAATGCTTCTATCACAGTTTAAATCCTCCTCCTGCAAGCAAGGCTTGAGATCTGTCGTCTCCATGGACTCTTGCTGTGTGCCAAACTTGACTTGGTTTAGCATGAGAAGCACAACTTATTGGATTATAGGGGTCTATCCTATATGCTCACATTGCTGGAGGCTGTGTGTACAAGCGGGGATACGTGTGGGTGTGCGGCTAGAGAACCAAGAGAGGGATGGAGCCGTCAATACAGACTGCACAAACCATTTTATTTTCTGTTTTCTAAATTTATTATTGACTCCAACCTTTTCATTTGGATGTTTTGGAAGATAGAGCAGAGCAGAAGACCAGCTTTATCCCACAAACACATTTTTTTTTAATCTGGGTGCTTGTAAAAGTCTACTGTAGCCTACACGAGGAGAGAGATTTGCAGTCGAATCGACTCTAAAACTGTCCCTGCTGCCTATTCAATTGTAATAATAACTCTGTTCACCCTTCACACTATTCAGCGTAGGTAGCGTGGGTATTGCTTTTCCTGCTGATGAGAACAACAGCAGTGCACAGCAGATAGCGAAAATTTAAATTGGACCAGCAAATTGGTGCCGTTGTTAAATCCAGCTTCTTTCATTTTAGGCAGCTGGCTAAAATAAAGCTTTTCCTTTCTCAAGAGCACTTTGAAACAGTAATTCATGCCTTTGTCACATCTTGGCTGGATTACTATAATGCACTTTATTTTGGAGTCAGCCAATCCTCCATAAAGCGTCTCCAGTTGGTCCAGAATGCTGCTGCTCGCCTCTTGACTGGCATTCGTAAGAGGGAGCACATAACTCCTACTCTGGCATCCTTTCGCTGGCTCCCGATATATTTTAGATTCTATTATTTGTTTTCAAATCTTTGAATGATCTCGCCCCACCTTAACTCCCTGAGCTCCTCCTCCCCTATGCGCCTGCCATGTGACTCAGGTCTGCGGACCAGACACTATTAGAGGTACCGAGAGCTAAGTAGAGGCTAAGACGGGATCGAGCCTTTCCCGTTGCTGGTCCCTCTCTTTGGAATGACATCCTGCTGAACGTTTGGCAAGCCCCCTCTCTGCCCAGCTTTTAAACTAATCTTAAAACTCATTTTCATTCTTTGGCTTTTGACTCAGCATGAGATTTGATTTTTAGTTTTACTGATTTTGTGCTTTCTAATGTCTTTCTCGTGAATTGTTTTTTTGTTTGTTGTTGTTATTTGCTCCATGTACAGCACTTTGCAGTGGTTGTTATGTTTTTGTTTAGATTACGTGTGGTTTTGTACCCTCATGTGCCTTTTTTTGTCTGTTCTTGTCATCCGGGTCCCTTGTGTTTAACCAATCAGCTCCCTCAACACTTTGTGTCTTGTCCAGGTGTTTCTCGTGGTCTCGTCACTTTGCTTGTATTTAGTTCCCTGAGTTCTGTCAATCTTTGTTGGGTCATTGTGTGTTCCTGTCATGTTTTGTTTCGGTCATAGGGTTTTTTGTTTGTTCACCATGCTCCTCCTGCCACCCTTCTTTTTGGGTCCTCTACCATCACTCAAAACTTGACAACTGCCACAACATACCGACTCTTTTAACAATAATGTCAAAATGTTTTTTTGGGGGAAAGTTGCAGACTTAGATTATAAATAATTATAAATAAAACTTTGTCCGATTGTTCAAACCTTTGTCATGTCTGCTTTAGGTCCCACTTTTGGGTGTGTTTTGTCAACTGTAACATCCATCCATCTATCCATCCATTTTCGAATCCATTTACCCTCACAAGGGACGCGAACGTGCTGGAGCCTATCCCAGCTGACTTGGGGCAACGGGCGGGCAGCACCCTGAACTGGTTGTCAGCCAATCGCAGGGCACACACATAGACGAACAACCATTCACACTCACAATTGATCAGAGTCCACCTTAGAAATACTACATGAGATGAATATCAGGACACAAATCATGATCTTAAACACTGCTAGAAAGTGTTTATTTTACGAAGTATAAAAAGTGATGTACAATGTTTCCAGTTCTTTTTATAAATATGCGCTGTATGTTCTGGTCACGTCAGTTCACTGCTTCGACCAATTATTTTTCTATACGGCTTATTCTGGTCAGGGTCATGGGTAGCTTCAGCCTATCTCAACTGACTTGGAGCAAAAAGCGGATTACACACGGCATTGGTCATTAGTCAATGAAAAGGCACATATAGAGAACAATCAATTATTGAAATTCATAATCACACCATCACTGTGTTGAATTAAATCATGCTGCCTTTGTTGAAGTCAGGTGTGTGAACCTTTACGCGTAGGGTAAACATATAAAGTAGTAACCTCACATAATTACAAGTATGGGCGGACTTAAAGCTACAGTTATGCGGCTTTGTTCATGCTACCATTTTTGCATTGTCGCTTGTAGTTAATGTCATTCATTCATTCATTTCCCCTGAAATGTGCTGACTTTTCCCAAAGGGACCCATATTATACAAAAACATTTATACTGCATATATGTTAAATAATGAATTATAATTAATAAATATGTGATACGGTTTGTGTAGACTGAGGCTGTTGCAAGTCCCGTGTCTAAAATGGCTTTTCGATTCATTAAAGTTCATGATGGAAATGATGGAATCTTGACACTATTAACCTGTATAAGCCATACATGTGTGTGTGTGTGTGTGTGTGTGTGTGTGTGTGTGTGTGTGTGTGTGTGTGTGTGTGTGTGTGTGTGTTCTGTGTGTGTGTGTGTGTGTGTTTTTATGGGACAGCGGTTACTGTCTATGCACTGCAGAATCATGCACCTGATGGTCTTTGAAACTTGGGGAATTGTAAACGAGTAAAACAGCACAAGAGTCATCATACATTCTTCGGCTTTGAACATGCTCGTCTTTTTTGGTTGTGGAAGGCCCCACAGCCTTCTCTCAGAATTGCAGAGTGAGAAGAACACATTACGTAATTATTTAAGCAAGCCTTTCTCTAGGTTTGAACCCATCGCTTCAATCTATTTTAATAAGCTCCAGAAGTCTTGCAGAGGCTAGAGGGTGCCTTGACACAAACGCATCCACAGCTTCAAAAAGTAGACTTTTTTTCTTTGGGCGAGAAACGGGGTAGACCCTGGACTGGCTGCCATCCAATTGCAATCACATAGGAACGACTAAACATTTATACTCACATTCACACGTGTCAATAACACCACATTTTGCAATGCACCTGACATGCAGAAAGATAACATGAAATTTAAACCTGATCGTCAGATATGTGAAACAGTCGCGCACACTGCTCATGATGTGCTCTATGCTGTCCGTATCTATCCACGTGCATGATGTGCCGTATCTCGTATAAGCAAAAACGCCGTGTAACTTAATTGTGTATGTCTCCCTCTAATCACATCGCCACCCCTGCTGCAGTCGTAACTTACCTTAAAAAGACTACGCGGTTACCTGTCTCTCTGCGTTGACACACGATGAGTCATGCTGTGGTGCTATTTCAGTATGCCCACTGGCAAACCCAGCTTCTTTGTCACTTCTCCTCTTCTTGCGTTGGTCATTTTCTTCTCCTCTTGCCGACATCGTTCCTTCTAATGTGGTGCCGTAAAACGTGGCAAAATGAGCATGAGATGCAGGAAAGACATGAACTCTCATATGATTGTGACAGTTGGATTTGACAAAAAAAGGCTGACGGCCTCGTCTGACTCGGCTACGGAAAATCATTCTTGACCATAATCGGTCTTAATGCTCATCGAGCGTAATGGCCCAGAACAGCCTACGTGGTTCCACCATGGTCCTATCAGACCGTCTGTCCGTGAATACAATTGCCAGGTCGAGACAAGATAATTAATCACCTGCTGACGAAACAGTCATCCAGAACAACATTCCACTCCTCTTGACATTTGCAGAGTCGCTCGCGGTCACATAAATAGACAGATTTAACGATGCGTCCCCCCACCCGTGAAGTCTTCATGATGATCAGGTGGGAACACGAGAGAAATGTCTGTGATTCCTGATGCACTGATCGAGCTTCCCACTGAGCGTTACTAATTTGTTCATCTCCTTAATGAACATTATTGCCAGAATCACATTAAGCCGGCACTCCGCTGACTTAATGACTACCGCCATGCTCACTGCTCACGTCCCCGCATGCCGCTCGCTCTCATGTGATCGATAAGTTCAACTTAGTCTTTTCATTTTGGCGTCATCGGCCCCAGTGAGTCGGAATGTAGCGTCGTATCAAGCATGGTTATGTAACCCGTGGCACCAAATCATCAAAGCTCCGGTAAATCATTCACGGATGATAAGAAGTTGAGACTGGATGATAAGTCAAACAAGAAAACAAGTGAGTTCCTTGATTATGAAGGAAAGGCTTCATTTGCCGCCCGAGTGCTGCAGATATTCTGGGATGCGCGCTTGTGTCTCCTTGGCACTGAGGTCGCGCGCACACACACAAACATCTCACCGTGTTCTGTGTGCACACTGACAACAAAGCGTATTCATAAAAAGGTGTGTCAGGAGGGTGTGTTGTGAGATTGTAACTCTAAATTGTTTACTGTCTCCTCCTCGAAGAATTTACAACCTGTCTCAAAATTCCCAATGCTGACCGGCACACGGTCGAAAATACAAAACAAAATTGAGTACAGAAATCATTTTAGTGTTCTGGCTCCCCTGAAAGACATGCAGAACTTCGCTGTGAAGGAAGCCGTTAAAATCAGAAGGCGCATATGAGCGCAAGAACTTGTGCTGCAACATAGTTGTGTGCGTGCACAATGCCGTGGCAGGCAGTTACTCATCTCTGCCTTCGCCGCCTGCTCAGAATGCATTTATAGACAAGAAGACAAATCAAACTCATTTCAAACGCTGCTTTCTGATTCATGGTTTTGATTAGCATTAATAATTTAGTGCTCGCTATATTTTACCCCAGTATCAAACACAAACCTTTCTTGGATATGAGCGTGGGAGTGGCCACGAGCTGCCCTATGGACAGAGAAGGTGTGTTCACAGCTGAGTTTCATCTGACAGCTAAATCAGCACACTTCACCAGAAGTGAACCACTGCCAGGCCTTACACAAAACAACATTCATTTTGGAGTGCTTTCTGTCTTCAAAGGTACGGTAGTGATCATACAATTATTCTTTTTTTTTTTTTTTAAACCTTTCCGAAGCCGCTGCAGAATATAACACACTATAAAGAGCCTGTGTTTACCTAAGAGGCAGTTTGTCTTACTCTTGTTTGATTAGTATTGCGATTCTGGTTTATTCTGGCTTCTAGAAGTAAGACAACAAGGCAGGAGACTGCTTGTAATGAGGATTCCTCAAACACAAGAAGAATTTCTTAGATGTCAACTGAACCTTTTAGAGAGACGCATGACGAGAAAACGTGAAATGAGTGACATATCAGGCATGGAAATGTACCATGAGGATACTTTTTAAAACTATTTTCCCACTTCTCCCTGCGCTCAGGTTTATGATGGAGCCGGGGCTGAAAATGACTGTGTTTTTTCTGGTAACTGTTCATCTCAAGACAGGTGAGTCAGATGATTTTTCTCCTCAAATTTATGACCCTATTCTATTTATACAACTGACTGGTTTTCGAACAATGACAGGCTGATTAGGCCCTGCACAGGAACACCGAATAGTTGGTAATTCACGCATCTGGACATCTAATAGTGAAGGCAGCATCGACTGCATTGCAGATGTGCAATGAAGCATGTAGGTGCAGTATCATGTCGCAGGACGTGCAGACCCCCTTTGTTGCTCTTTAATAACAATTAGGTCAGCAAAGAAAAACAAGTCCAAGCTTAAACCCTCAAAGTCTCCATATTGCATCATCTCATTCATTTGTATATATTCTGAATAAATTGGTCCAGCGTGCCCGTTGCCTGGCCGATCCCAGTGCGTTTGAATCCCGTCAAGTCTTTAAGTAATTGCATTCTGTGACAAGTTTAGCTGCCTCTGTGCTCGTACAACACATCATCTTGAGACGACAGCATTTTGCTCAAAGCGGGCCGAGGTGCTTCTCGAGCTGTAAACATTTGACTGACTAATCTGAAAGTTTACCCAGAATGCCTTTATCACATTTGTCACTTTCAGGCTCTAATGAATGACTCAGTGTACTTTGTTTGTGGCGATAGCATTAAGGTGCCTTCGGAGTCTTTGTGAGGAGATTTAACAGCGAGGGGTGTCAACAGAGGGGCTGGTTGGATTTATCAGCATTCTCCATTAAGAAATTTAGCCAAGGTTGAAAGATCTAAATGGGAAAATGGGGCGAAGATGAATGACAACATTACAAGTTTAAATATGCTGAGTGCCGTCGTCTCTGCCTCCATAAAATGTTGACTTAAGATGCGGACTGTGGCTGCGGGCTGTACGAGAGCAGCTCACATGGGGTTTTTTTTCAAGAAATTTACCCGCGATGGTTATGAAGACCGGACAATATGAAGAATGTATGTACGGAGATGGCATAGGTTATAATGTCACGAAAATCCTCCGACAAATCTTTGAATGTTTTAGTTTCAGTACGGAGGCCAATTATTTTCAGAGCGGCGCTCCGCTCTTTTTAGGAGCGCGGGCCTTGAGCTTGAATGCCATTAAGAGAAAACTGTCATACATTTTAAAGAGATTCTCTTGCCTTCTCGTTTTACATCGCTGTTGGTTTTGGCTTCTACAAACTGTAGAACAAGAATTGTATTTCACGGCGTATAAAGAAATCCGCCTAATAGCGATGACAAAAACACTGTCAATTAAAACTATTGCATATTTCTCTGTAGCAATAGTTTTCATATGAATATTGTTTTGACATAGTTTTTCTGCACTCTTATGTAGAAATAAATACATACAGGTGGATTTCATTCAAACCAGTAAAACAAAATTTCTCAGAAAAACTACCGGTATTTTATTTCAGTAGTTCAAGTCAAAAAGTGAAACCTATATGCCAATGGAAAAAAATAAAGTCATGAAATATTCTACTCTGCATGTAGTGAATCTGCATATGATACAATTTTAACCCACCTTAAAAAGCACAACCCACTATTCACCGCCTCAAGGTTATTCCAAATGATTTTGCGGACAATTTTTGTACAACATTCTGAGTTATGCTTACGTGATTATTTGATCAAATGTTCAGACTGTGAATATATATATTTTGATATAGTAAAAGAGTAGTAGGACAGAGACTGAAAAATACCGCCCGAAACCAATTTCAAAGTACCACATGAGTAGTTCGCAGGCCTCTTGGAATAGCTCACTAATAATGGGACAACTGTAATTTTCCAGGAATGTTGTGGTCATGATCTTTTCACAATGTGAACAATTGCAGACATTTACAGGAATAAAATATCTATAATTTGGATATTGTCTATTTTCAAATTATTATGGGAAATTATTCGTGTCTTCACATGAATTTAATTAATTGCACATTGTAACACATAATACTTTGAAATAATTGCGGCCAATATGGATTTTTTTTGAGAGTGTAAAGTGTCAAAATGTCTGCTACCTGGACGTTCTGAATGACAAAATGAGCCTTGAGTTGTTTCAAACTTGTATGAACACACAGATGTGACACGGGCCATGCAGGTGACATCCACGGGTCCGCAGACCGTCCAGAAGGCCCAGGGTGAAAACCTCCTGATCGGGTGCACCTACACCCCCGGGCTCCAAGATACTGGGGAGCTGGACATTGAATGGTCCAACGTCAGCCCAGACATGACGCAGAAAGACAAACTGGTAGGCGTACTATGAACACAGAGGGGGCGGAAGGTTTTGTGTCTTTGCAACCATCCAATGTCATGTTCTAACTTTGAGCTATGTTAGTAGTAAAACCTGCTTTCCTCTTTCATGTTTGTTTATCAGATCTTGGCCTACACCGGAGGGCGTATACTCAACTATGACCCCAGCCTCTCTGGCAGGCTCAGCTTCGTAGGCGACCCCAAGCGGGGGGACGCGTCCATCTCCATCACCGATTTGAGGCTTTCTGACACGGCCACCTACCTGTGCAAAGTCAAAAAAGCGCCAGGTGTCGACATGCGGAAAGTAACTCTTGTCGTTATGGGTGAGGAAGAATTCTCCTCAACTGGTTTTACCAGTAAATTTACTCGCTTCTCACTCGAATGGAATGTCCTTCTCAAGCTGTCGTCACGTTCTGTCTCCCACTTCCCAATGGCACTGTGATTTCCTTTTTTCTCTCACCAGTTCCCCCGTCTGTGCCAAAATGTTGGATTGACGGCAAGGAGGAGAAAGGCAGTCCGGTCACTCTCCGCTGCAAATCGTACCAGGGATCCTCTCCTCTTACGTATTCGTGGAGAAGAGAAAGCGGCGGTGCAAAACCACCTCTGGCCGTGCCTCTAAGTAAGACACTTTCTGTTAGCTGAAATGCCAAAGCATGCTGCCTTAATTACATGTTCCTCTGGGATGTCTCTTATTCAGACACACAGAATGGGGAGTATTTGATCAAGAACCATTCAGACAGCTATGCTGGAAGTTACGTGTGTGAGGCCAAAAACCCTGTTGGCAAAGCTCAGTGTAAACAGGCACTGCAGGCATACAACCGTAAGTAAAGGAGGACATCAGTACTAATTTGACTTCCTGAACCTATCAGGAACATTTTACAATCCAAAAATGCTGCCTTTTGATTCACTAGTGAAGCTACTTGAAATTTAAAACGGCTCTCGAGTGTCTCAAAGTGATATGCTTTTGTCATAATACTCCCAGGATAACGAACTACAGCAGACTTGTACTCAAATTTGTGTCGTGCTGAGCTCCGTGCATTCGAGAGGGCAAGTTTCATGCAAGTGAGCGACCGGATATTCTGTCCTGTATACTATCGATGCCGAACATGGATTTCGTTACCATGTTAACCAGGAAGTGGCGATAAGGGTAGTTCATACACCGGCGCCTCATCAAATATAAATACACAATCAGCAACTTCATCAAGCAATTAAGTACAGTATGTGCCACAGGATAACGCTGTTAGCGGACGCAAATCAGGAGATCAAACAAAAGTCAATACGTCTTTGCTTGCCCTTCAAATTTGATGTGATAGCAGGGGCATCACATTTCATGATGTCTCTTGAAAGTGACTCTGGATTTTCACCCAGCATAGCTGATCGCATCGCGGGTGGATTTTTTTTTGGTGGTGTAGGGGCAGTTACTTGGTAAATAAGCAGGACAGAAGATCGGTTTACTCTGAACACATTTTCTCGAAATAGGCTGATAGCAAAGATTACCGCGACTCGGTTGTAGGGCTTCAACAAAAGATTATTGCAATCATCGATGAACCTGTTGATTATTTTGTTGAATAATCACTGAATCAGATTTTTTTTTCTAAACATGTTTTCATTTCGATCGCTTTAGTCCAAAAACGGGACATTTCAAACTGACACCGTAGAAAATGTAGCAACATAAATGACTCATAATTACGTTATGGGTTCCTTAACATGTCAGAAAATAGGCAAATATTTTGATCATTGTATTCCAAAGTAAAAGCAAATGTTTTATTTTGATTCAACACAAAGATGATTGGTCTGCTTATATGGAGGGCTACGGAAACCGTCTCGTATTCCCTTTTTATAAAGCTGAAATTGCAAGCATTTGGATCATTTTTAATTAAGAAACCCGTCTATATGATCTAAACGGAATGACAAAAGGGTAACAGACAGGTGAATCATTAATCTGATAATCAATTACATCATGTAATTGATTATCAGATTAATGATAATGTAATTGATGATGTAATTTACATGTCAATTGAGTCAATTACTCATGCATCTACCGCACTGAAAAAAAAAATACTTGATTTTCAGTTGCAAATGATTATGCACATGAATAAATGTGTTAAACTCATGCAGGTCATTTGTTTTGAGGAAAACACGGGAAAATGATATCGGCTTACCGTATTTTAATCTCGTGCAACCGATGTACATGTTCCACTTATTTTTTTTCAGTGTGAGTTGTTTAATTTTACACTTGATAGGTGGGCAGGCACTCCAGAGACCTATTTGTCAACAAGCAATTCAAATATTGTATTTTCCATAGTATATCCCCCCTTGACTATTGTTAATTTTATACGACTCAATCAATACGAAGCATGATTATCTTTTTCACATCGTCTCTTTTATTGCATCTCATTGGATTGTGCGCAGCGGTCATCATGCTGTGGCTATTCAGAGAAGGACATCTGACAAAAGCGTGTCGAGTAAAATGACATCCTGTCTTCCAGCCACCAATCGAGTGGGCGTCATAGTCGGGGCTGTGATCGGTGCTCTCCTCCTCCTCCTCCTCCTCTTGCTGGCCATCTGGCTCACGGTCTGCTGCTGCCTCAAGTTACGCTACGAGAAGGAGGTTGCCAATGAAATCAGGTATCGCAACGGAGAGCATATTGAGAGCATTCAGTCGTATTCTCTGAGTGAGACTCGTGTGTTTCGTCAGGGAGGATACCCGTGCCCCAGAGAGCCGCGCCTCCAGTAGGAACTCCAGTTACCGCTCAGTCCTGGGCTACCGCACCCACCAAGGGGTGTCCTACAGCTCGGTGGGGAACCGCCTGATCAGTGTCAATGAGTCCAATGGCAGCCACCCCAGCAACAGTGACAAGGGGTCAAAACAAAGCGCTTCAGTGAGAAAGCCCCTTCCGCCACTCAAATACGACCATCGCTACGGTTACCCCGTGTAACTACAATTTATACACAATGGACTTCTGGAATGAAGCGTTAAAAAAAACAAAACTTTTTTATTCAAAGTGTCAAAAAATGTTTTTACTTTAAGTGTAGATCTTGGAGAAACTGTTGCCTTGACAAATGGTGCCAAGCAGCCTCTTAAACACAACCGTGAAGGCATATATTTAATATGCAGATACTTGCAGGACTTTTGATAGAATCGGACCTCATCTATTCGACTGGACGTCCTCCATGATGCACTGTCTATGTTTTGTGTTCCCGTCAGTGTGGTAAACATCTCAATATGAAGTGAATGTAGCACAGATTTATGAAAGTTGTAAATAACAAATAGTTTGTATTATGCTTGAGTGCTTCCTTTTCCATTGCCTAAAGCTAGTTCAGTGCATTTTGATCAATAGGTATAAGCACAATAAAATAATGTTTTAACTAACAAGCTCAAGAGCGGAATACTGTGCTGTCTAGATCTCATTTTTGGTTCCCTGACCTATTCGCTCAGAGTTCCAAGTCGGATATAATGAACCGTCAGAGATGACACTTTACCCCTTTAAAAACAACCGATTTGGGAGCGTCTGGGGCAATGCATTAGCATGCAGATGTCATTCTGCTGTAAACAAATTGCCATCTAAAATTCTGATGATGTGCATAAACAAGGCCAGACAGTCGCTTTCCCCTGGCCTTGTATTTGCCTTTTGGAAAATTTCATTTGCACAGCGGCGTGTTGCACCACTGTCTTGTTTGCGTTTGTTTTTTTGCACAGCAACCGGTCAACTACTTTTTAGTCTAATGGCTAGTTTGGGCACACACCCTCAGGTTCCACCCGGTTAAGGCAGTCAGTACGTTGCTTACTGACCATTTTCTCTTCAAAAGCTCTTCATTTAGCCTCATCACGTTTCTTTGTATGTTGCATTAATAATAGCTGCAGGAAGGAGGGCACACGAAGACCATCAGTGACAAATTCTGCCCTGGGACAGCTTTTAGACAGCCGTGGTGGAGGAAGAATCTTTTACTTGAGTGAAAATCCCAAGCCACTAAAATAATGCACGAATATGAGGACTAGTACTCTTCTATGAATGTACTGTATATCATTACCGTATGTATACCTGCATGTGCTGAATATACTGTACTGCTTTGCTGTATAGACAATGTTGTATTGTACAGTATTCAGCTATAAATGTTTTTGCCATTGGATTAATATAATTATACTATCATCATAATTTAGGGTTATTATTATTATTAATAATAATAATAATTTAAATAGAATTTAATCAATTGAAAGCATGTCCGATTGTGTGATAATTGACTGCAGATGCGTTGTGTTGTGTGCTGTAAAATAAACAGCTGTAAACTAGCATGTAGAAGGATGGGAGCCATGTTTTGGGGGTTCGTTGCTTAGCAGAGGTGTAAATCAAAATACATAAATAAATATAGAGATAAATTAAAGGGGGCGGGACGGTGTCCAATGGTTAGCACGCCCGCCTCACAGTGCAGAGGTCCAGGGTTCGATTCCGGCCTTCCTTCCTGTGTGGATGGATGGTTGTTCGTCTACGGGTGCCCTGTGATTGGCTGGCAACCAGTTCAGGGTGTCTCCCGCCTACTGACCGAAGACAGCTGAGGATAAGCGGATCAGAAAATGGATACATGGATGGATGGATGGATGAATAAAAAGTCAACCTCTATTTCATAGACCATGGGTATTACGGATAATTTTTGGAATGTGACCCCGCCATAAATAAGGGAATGTTCGGAATCAGATTCATTTAAATTCCAAACAAGCCAAAGGATTCCATTTTGATTTTCACCCGAATCACTGTTCTTGTTTTTTTCACTTAAAGTCCACTTGAACACTGTGTTCGATATACTTATTTAAATGTCCCTCTTTTCTGTTTGCCCAATTTAAACGGTAAAAGGTGCGCACGTTGGAAAGAGAATGGTTTCAGAGATTGAATGTGCACACAGAAGCACGTCCTACAGTAATGAAGCCAGCAAAAAGTGTTGAAATGAAGACAAGGGCTTGCAAATATTTGCCTGGCAGTCTCAATCAGAAAGCTCATTTCCTTTTAATTTCACTCTGTGGTGGTATATGACTTTTAAATGGAAAAAGCTCAGGGCTTTCCCTTCTTGATTTTTTTTTTTTCTATTTGGAAAAAAAAAATTGAGAACCGGAAACTTTGCTGATCAGGAATTTACCTTCCTGTCAGTGCTTTTTGTGAGGGGGGGAAAAACCCTGAGGATATCAATTTCTTGTGAAACGTGATTATTTATTGTTTGACTATTTGTGCAGGCAAAATAAGATTTAAGAGATGACAAACATGTGTGATTCTTCCTACCACTCAGTCAGAACTGCATTCACTTCCTCAAGGTGATAGAAAGGTTATGTGCTTTTTGTAGCATGCAAATAGGAGTGTGAGTGTGCGGACTGGTGTTTGTAAATATGTGGCCTGGCTGCAGGAATATGCTTGCATGAGAAGTCCCACTTCGCCATCAAGGCGAACTGATCAAAATACAGCAAAGTCACAGGATCAATCGCACTGAACACATATCCTGTGCATGCCGTGTGAATGCAAATACACCCTTATCACTTCCTGTGGTCACGGCTGATGCAAATCGCATGTAATGCTCGGACGTATAAATCTCTGTCGCTCGCGGAGCTTCACCTTGCTGCGCGTGTCCTGCAGACAACTTCAGGTGAGGATTAACACTTGGATCAAGAAAACCAAAGATGTGATTCTTCAGACAGAGCCAAAGGTGCTGAAAAGGATTGTGAGGAAAATGTAAGAAGAACTCTTGAGTAGAATTGAAAGTGACAATTTAAAAAAAAAAAAGTTTGACCCAGCCACTGCATTTTCAAACTCCAACAGAAGATTCGGACTTGGCCTATAAAAGAACGACTAAACAAGGGGGCAGATTGTTACTGCCGTGGAATAAATGTGAGGAGTTGGAGAGAAAGAGGGAGCTTCTCATCATGCTTGGGGCAAACAAAATGTCCATGTGGCTCTTGACGGGCATGTCGGCTGTCACCACGGTGTTCTTTAATCTCTACATCTTCCTGATGAGTGTGTTGAACTCCAAGCAGAAGAAGCAGTGGAGCCCCAGCGAGAGCATCATCGTGGCTTTGTCTTTGGCAAACATCACTCATCAGCTTGTCTGCTACTTCTGGATGAGCATGGACGAGGTGGACAGCAAGTGTCACATCGCTCAGATGCCCTACACCGTCATGCTGGTCATCACCTTCAGTCTCAAGTTCACCATCATGTGGGACAGCAGCTTCCTGACATTCTACTACAGCACCAAGCTGGTGAGCACGCCCAACCAGTGCTACACGCACATCCAAGCCACCATCATCAAGCATGTAACACTTGCTGTGTTCCTCATCCCGCTGAGTGGCCTGGGGACCTGCATGCCCATGCTGGTGGTCTTCCACGCCGTCAATGACACCAGGGAAAACAAAGACTGCGGGGTCTTAATGCCCGACACGAGGCCCGGAAAGATTTACGAGGCCCTCTATCTGATCCTTGCAGATGTGCTGCCGGGGATGTTCATGGTAAAATGCTGCATCTCCATTAGCGTGCACCTGGCGGTGCATCTCTGCCGCATGAAGGCCAGCACCAACGGCGCTCATGTCCCCAAGTTGGGCACTCAGATGAGGGTGATCCAAATGGCTCTCTCCCTGGTGGCCGTCTTCCTCCTCTTCCTCATGGTCGACCTGTACGTGAACTACCAGATAGCCGTGCATCACGAAAACGCCATCACGCTGACGTTATTCTTCACATCCATCTATACCACGGTTTCTGCCATGGTGCTGATCTACGGGAAAAAAACACTTTGGAAAGCTCTGATCCATGATTTTAACATCTGCATGGATGCGTATCCATGTTTGACATGTCTGAAGGTGCCTGAGCAGAAGCACCAATCCGCTCGCTCTCCCGCAAGGATCAAGAACTGAAGGACCAGTTTATTAGTAGCAAATATTTACACTATAATCCAGTGATTCCCCGACACTCCAGACAACATCACCTAAGTCGTTTGGAATTATTATTTATTTATGACAAATAATGTGTTTGTTTATCCATCTATGCCAGCATTGTATAGTGACAATCAGAATCATTTTAAAAAATCACTAGCTGGCAGAGGGTACAATTCACCATTAACTTATTGCGAGCATCGCATCTGTGTGTTCAGCTAAACAGGCCCAAATTCTACATAGTGTAAGTCAATTTGTGAAGAATTTGAGACAAGATCATTATTTTATTCTTTCTATCTATCTATCTTTCTTTTTTGGTTTCTTTGTTGGGTGGTGTGCCGTGACAATTTTGTAATGCATAAAAGGTGCCTGAGCTCAATAAAGCTTGCAAAACACTGTGATAATCCAATTGTGACTTGTAATTGAAACATATTCAAGATTTTGTATTGTCGTGTAAGCATACAAGTACTGAGAAAGTCAAGCTCATTTTTTTTTTTTTTGATAGCCCTCAATCACGAAAGGGTCTCAAAGGGCTTCATCAGGCCACAGTTGACAAATCCCCTGACCAAAATCCCCAAGAGCGGAAGGTAAGATATCAAAAACCCCATGTGGGGAAAAAAATTTGAAATCTTGAAAAGAGTGGGCAACATTTAATGCATGATATGGTGCTATTCAACGTTATCTAGAACAGCATGAGGGTCCTGCAGGAAGACACCTTTGCAGAAGTGGGTCCTCCTCAAAACTACGATCAGCCGTAAATTACACACATGGTAAAAATCTCAATATTATGCAGGCTTTTATAGGTCAAACTTACAAAACAAAAGCCAATTAAAAAAATGTAAATCGATATTTGAAAATATGTTTCGGGACACAAAAGCCCACCTCTGATAAAAATGTGTGCTTTACCGGTGTAATGTAACCAGTGTCGTATCAGCGAAGAAAATGGACTTCAAAGCTTTTTAGTTTATAGAAAGTTTCTAGCAGAAATGTTTTCTATAAATGTACTTCTTCAAGATATCCAGCGACTGAAAATATTCACACTCACAGCATTTTCTGTTTATATCTTGACTTTTCAATATTTACTTGAGTTACTTGATCTTTGCTGGCACAGTGAAACATTTGGCGAGCAAGTTTCAAGCTTGGCTGGAGACATTTCTGTTTAAAGTTTACCTGTTCTCCTGGCGCTTGTGTGGATTACCTCCGAATCTTGCGATGAGAGTTTTGATTGATCTGAAGCGTTTCCTGCTGGGCATCAGTTCAAACAGGTGGTGGGCAGGGTGAAATTGGTCCTTCGTGATCTGCTTTCTGCAACCAACGGGGGGGTTTGAACTTTTCCGGGGGCAAGGCGCAATAGACCTTTAATGTTTTGGACACTTTTTAGGATCGTTTGGAGAGACTGGAGAGCTGCTGCATTTGAAATAGAAGAAGAATAAGAATAGGAAGTAAATATTTCATTGGCGCATAGAACTGAAGCACAAGCATAAAACCTTTCCGGCGCAAGACGCAATAGACCTGTAATGTTTTGTGCAATTTTTGGGATGGTTTGCAGAGACTGGAGAACTGCTGCATTTGGAATGGAAGAAGACGAATAGGGGAGCCCAGATATTGTCAACACAGTCACTATCTCTACATTCTCTCTCTGATGCGCACTGAAGGCTTGACGCCATGCTTCGTGAACGTGCGAAATGTATGATTTGTATTCGACAGGAATATCCAAAATGAATGTCATTTCAAAGTTTAATCACTATTGCATTAATCAATAAAAAGAAAGGACTGCAATATCTCACCTTAATGGGTCTGCTGTTTTTGTCTCTTTCTCAGTCACTCAACCATAAAATTAGGTACACGTGTAAATAATGCTAATGAAGTTTTGATTGAAACTGAAGTATGGTATTCATTTCACAACATGTTTATTGTGGTGAGTGTCGTTTGCAGAGGTCGACGGTTGTGTATTAGATCTCATGAGGTTGTGTGAGGATATGTTGTAAACCACCTTTTGCCCAAAGTCGGCCGAGATAGGCTCCAGCTTCACGGGACCCTGAGCAAGATGAGCGGTAGGGAAAATGAATAGATAGATGGATGGATGGATGGATGGATGGATGGATGGATGGATGCATCTAATTGCCTGTCACTCCATATTTGTCTGGGCAAAAAAAAGAGTTGAGTTCTATTACATTAGGGCAAACAGTGAATGTGTGATGAATATTAAGAAATGATGTGTCGGCGCATACTTATTTTTGCTCTGTGTATGCATGTATCTGTCATTTCACGTTTTGCGTGAAATTTGACAAACAATCTGCAGGGAGTAGATCTACTGTGCACACATCACAGCCACCAAATGAAGTGTTCACTATTCGGATCACGTGCTCATCACACAGAACCTGTCA